GAAAACACAAAAATATTTACAGCACAACATATTTTAACATTGCTAATAAGAAGAAATGTTTCTTGAGGACCAAATCAGCATATATATATATATATATATATATATATATATATATATATATATATATATATATATATGTACAGTAGTGGCCAAAAGTGATGTCCAGCCTATAGGAAAATTGACATCTTTACCCTTTATTCAACTATTGTTAAATATTTGTTCAAATATTATTAAAAAATAATATTAAAAATGTATTTTGTTAAAGATTTTGTATAATTGTGCTTGGAGTGAATTGTTTGATTTGTGATAACGCAATGAAACATGCAAAATTGTGCGACATTATTTTTTTCCAAGCTGTCATACAAAGAAACTATGAATGAACACATGCAAAAACAACAAAATATGCTTACAATGTATGCTTTTTTTCTGCAAGCTTTGTCTATGTTTATAATATATATATAGGCCTATTGTTGTTGTTGTTTTTTATTACTTAAACATGCTTATATTAGAATAAAAGTGACTATTTGCAACTTTCATAACATACATTTAGCAACATACTTAATAGCCAAACATTATGCCATCTGCACAATGTCCCACAAAACCAGCAATTTAATTGTCATAAACAGCATTTCCATCTACTAATAGTCTGAATGCCGTTTTTTAATATTTATATATATTTATACGAACTGGAACAATGACAGAGAGATAGCAGAGGTAGTGTGTGCGGCTGGCAGCTGCCGGCTGTCTGTGATGATGACAGATGAGCTGATAAAAGAACACAGAGCCGCTCATTCAGCCCTCACCATCGTGTTTGCCTTTGCCTTTGCCTTTGTGTCCTGATCAGCAGCGATCATTGCCATGCAAAACGATGTTGCTTCATGGTTTGTGTTGACTATGACATTCTGTCTCTCAGCTGGGTGGGGTACGAGTATCCCGAGTTCCAGGGCCAGCAGTTTATCCTAGAGAAAGGAGACTATCCCTGTTACCAGGCCTGGAGTGGCAACAGCAGTTACAGAACAGAGCACATGCTCTCTTTCAAACCTATTAAATGTGCTGTAAGTTGATCCCATTATGTCAAATCCGCAAAGACTTTCTCATACGGCTTCTTTCATCATCTCAGCAATCTCTTTGTTAAAACGGCACATTGGGTTTACATCATAACAAATATCCTCAAATCATCTCTTTCCCATACTCCCCCTTTCCCTGACAGAACCACAGTGACAGTAAGATTACCCTCTATGAGTGTGAAGAATTCATGGGACGTAAATTTGAGATGTGTGAGGACTATCCCTCCCTCCAAGCCATGGGTTGGTGCAGCAAGGAAGTTCCCTCAATCAAAGTCAACTCAGGAGCGTAAGTCACCTCATCACTCTTAGGGAAAAAAACCTATAGTTCTTGACTCGTTGTTACAACCATTTTAGCCAAAAGGGTTCTATATAAGAAGAAATGTATTAAATGATTGCAGATACTTTAACAGGTTTTTTCTATTTTATTTCTAGTCACAAAGTATTCATAAAAATGTAATAATGAATTAAAACAAAATTAATGAAGTCCATAAAATGATCCCCACCTGACAGAATCCTATATTAATATAACTATATTTAATAATTTTGTTTTTAATAATATTTTTAACAAGATATATGTACATACATACTGTGTATATATAGGCTATATATATTATATGATCAATAAGTTATGACAACATATGTTTTTACATTGCTTTAACAAAAAATTTTCAACTTTTTTTGTTTATACAAGATTCAACTCATTATTTAAAGTCAGCTTAATGTAATTGAGCACCTCCCTGCACACAGTCTTATTAGTGTGCGGTGCAATAAATGAGATTTGCCCTTTTCTCTGGCAGCTGGGTAGGCTATCAGTTTCCTGGTTACCGTGGATATCAGTACATCTTTGAGAGAGACAGACGCCAAGGAGAGTACAGATGCTACAACGAGTTCGGCACCCAGGCACACACCAATCAGATCCAGTCTATGCGCAGAATTCAGCAATAAGACCCCACACCATTATGTACACATCATGTCATGCCATGTCATAGGCAATAAAGACATTATTTAAACAATGGTAAAAGAGTACTTTTTTTTTTTTTTTTTTTAAATAAAACAACTTCTCTGCTCAAATCATGGATCTGCTAAGTGGTAATTCTTGATGTAAAAAACAAGCAGGTCTGATGCTTTTTAAAGCTATATGTTATTAGAGCAGGCCTCGCACATTTTAAAAGAAATGTAATCATGCAGAAATTTTGGCAAGATTTTTTTTTTCTGAGATAGACTACACTTTCAATGGAGGAATAGGCCACTTTGTTACATTTAACAATTAGGATGTTTTACACCAGATGAACACCACCCAAGTCTTGCTTAATGATGTCCTAAACCATGGGGGATGTGAGACTGTGATATTTCTAATAAACAAGAGCATGAGTACATTCAGGTTAGTGTCATGTTATTTTTTTCTTTGTGGACCTGTTTTTGGGGGATTTTAGCTACATTTACATATGCTACATTTATACTAAATAAAATAAACATATTCATATATGTATATATAGGCATATACAATTTCCTATAAATTACACTGTAAAAACATATTGTTGGTGTAACTTAAAAAAAATAAGTTAGGCCTACCTGGTTGCCTTAAAATTTTGAGTTCATTGAAATTAAAAATGTAATTTCATATAATGAAGGAGACTGGTTTAATCAACAGAAACCAAACATATTAACTAAACCACATTAATTATCTAAGTTGATTTGACAGAAGAAAAAAAGTTGTGATAACAAATCATGGAAATATTTTTTAGTGTAGAAATATAAAAAGTGCTGTTAATAAATGTTTAAATAAATGTATCTTTAATGTGTATAAAAATGTAATGAAAACATCTTTCTATTTTAACAACTATTTTATTTTATATATTTTATTTAAATTATCTTGGCCTATATATAGCCCATTAGTATGGAGAATTAAAAAAAATACTGCAAGTTTATATATATATACTTGCAAAATTAGCCTTTTTTTTATTATCCATGGGCTGGGGTGAAAGTTCTCACGTGTTGTCACCGGTTTGGGTTTTGTCTGGAGCTGTCCGAGGTCCTGACCTTTGTGGATCAAATAATTGCCGTACATATTCTTGTTTGAATAGGCCTATAAAGTTTTTCGTTGATGAAAACAGCCGAGGTCTAATGCAATGGACGGATCTTTTATTGATGAAGGGGTAAAGGAAGTACGGTTTCTTTTTCGCCCAATCAAATCGTTTGTAACACTGGGATCCGGGTGTGATTCCGTCTCTTATGTTTGTTGTGTGTAACCGTTCAGTATTTGGCTGCACACACCCACTTTCAGAATAAGGTGTAGTTGCTGTTTGAAAACTTGCTCCCACACCCAGTCCAGGATCTCCTAATAAAATGTTCAACTGTACACACCTTTATCAAATACACATTTCCCTTCGAGCTTATTAAAAGTGTAGTACTGGTTCTTAGTGCAGTGGTTATAAGACAGACAAGAGTGCTGAAAGCAGCTGGATCTGGGACAGGCTGCAGTCTGACATAACAGGACGGGGTAAGTAATATATTGAGGGAGCAAATCAGGACAGGACAGAGATAAGTTAGTATTTAGAAGGAAATGGCAGATATGAATCACAAATCCAACCTTATAAAACTGCATTGTAAACATGTTTTATTAATTAAACTAAACGTACTACCCAAAATTTTATTCAAGTAAAATTCGTATTTAATAGGACTGAATCAACCTGACTAAGGTTACATATCAACAACAGAAGGTGAGACCCGCGTAAAACATTTTGTTCTTTGTAAAATAATGTTTGTGCTGTGTACTTTCTCAAACTTTTATATAATTGATTATTCCAAGTTTGCCTGCTATTACTGATCCCTGACTTGAAATTATTGTCAAAAACAAAGAGTGCTTACAACGTGCCTACCGCCTACCGGGAAGAGTTGTAAGTTAACGTCAAATGAAACGTGGTTATGGTGGTAATCGAATTTACTGTTAAATTAACTAATATCCCCCAATCACCGCCCCATTTCATTTTAATCATTTTAAATAAAATGATAAACAAACAAACATTTGACTTTTTTTTATTTTTATTTTTTACATGTAGCCTATTGATTAAAGAGAATCTGTTGATTCAGTTAGGCTACATGTAGCTACAGTGTATAATCGTGCAGGCAAATTACAGTTATCATTGGAAACACAACTTATCTTTAGACTTATTCCAGATTTAATCCTTTCTCTTTGCATTTTTATATTCTAGATCTCTTCTTTGATTGGCATATCGCATTTATCTTTAACTATTGCATTTAGGTGTTTTAAATGTATTCATCAGAAGGTCCAAGGCCAGCATGAAATATGTCGAGACTCGAGTGCATGGACAAACTCAAGCATTGCCTTGCATCCGAGGCTTGTTTAAGTTGCCTGCGATCTCTTTAATGACTCAGGCAGCTAAAGCAAGTCTGGGACGCCTGAGTCTGAGACAACACGACACAAACAACTACAAGATGACTCGCCCGTTTCATCTGATATTAGTGTGTGTTTGAGTTAATGATGCTACTCTCACAGTTGACGCTGCCGAGTAGTCTTTATTTGTGTGCAATTAATACAGATTAAATATACAGAATAAGCAGACTACAGTGTAATCACACACCACTGCTTGACTTACAAATATTACATTTGTATTTCTTATAAACAAATATTTATTACCCCTTTCAGGTTTGAATCAAAAACACACACCCCTGTACAGATGGACAGCATTAATATGTTTGCATGGGCACAAAAAAAAAAAAAGAAAAAAGTAATAAAGCATTTACCTTCTTTGTCTGTTTTTTGTCACTTCATTGGTTCACGTGTGTCGTATGGGATTACTGTAAAATATATGGTGAACCTAAACTGTTTTGTTGTCGTCCACATTTATCATAGTATTTTTTTTTTTTTTTTTTTAAGATTTGGTTTTGTAAAAAGGTACATGAAATTCAAGGACTATAATATAATAAAAAAGGTGTCAAAATAAAATTTTTACCCTATATGTATACTGGAGTTATTTATAAAGAGAAAAAAAGGTTATTTTGGGTTCTATGTAGAACACTTGGGTTCTTGACTCAGTTTAAAAAAAAAAAAACATTTTGTTTAATGACAACCAATGCATTATGTGACAGTATAACTGAAACGATCATAAGGCAGGGCACATGGTTTACAATACCATCAATTGCGCATTAAAGCAACTTACGTTTGGGATAAAATGTTCTTGTTTACCAGTAATCACTGAGGCATGATTAAAAGGTAAATATTCTCAACCAACATGGAACAGGCCTTTTTGTTTGCAAAGAGGTAAAAAGGCGGAAAAGAAAGAGGATCTGAACCGGTTTCCATGTCAAACACTTCAATTCTCCATAGAAACTCTGATCTTAACGCAGAAACTTTATTAAACCTTGATGGTGGATTGATAAGGCCGAATTTCTATCGGTTCCTTTTTATTGTGGAGACGGGGAGGGATGGCAGAGGTAAATTGCTCTTTTAATTAAACCAATGCACCGAAGGAAATTGCTGTCTGAATATTGTCTCAGAGATGGGGCTTGTGACAGTTGCCTGGAAACTTCAATCTGTCTCACATTTATTCCAGATCACAGTTTTGAGATAAAGTTTAATAAAAATCTTTGCGCCAATGAAAGCCTACCCTTTCACGTCCACCACCACCACCACCACAATGCGACAGAACTGCGGAGGAAGCCTTATGTTTAACATGTATCTCTCAGGTACATAGTCTTTTTGTGCGTAAAATGAGAAAAACTGCTGAAATGAGTGAAAAGAATAGGGCGATGCTAGGGGTCTGCGGGTGCACGCTGCGCACCACCGCCGGTGTCTCTGACTTCTCCATCTGGAACGCATGTCCTCTTTTGTCGGAAATCGGATATCCTTTTTCCTGGACGCGTTTCCTGACCTCGGCGCTGAAGTCTGGGCAAATACATCGAGCAGCAACACGACGATACTCATACTATTTAACCTCTTTTATTGCGAATTCTTATTTATAGATGGATGACATTACGTGTTTTTCCTCTAAAATTATTACAAATAGGCCTATACACAAACAAGGGGAAATATGTTTCATGCATATTTTGCTTATTACTCCTTTGCAAAGTACATATAGAATATGAATTCTGATTGTCAGACGTATTTCTTAAACGTTTTCTTCCAGACCCCACAGAAAATCTTTTGAAGGAAAGCAAAAGCTCTTCTTGGACCCCCATCAACACAGGCGTGCAGAAAGGTGAGTGCTGCGATGAATTGTTGACGGACGAATTTTCTTTTGTGCAAAAAAATAAAAGGTTCTTTCATAATAATAAAAAAAAATAACTATTGTGCGCATTCCGCAAAATTGTATACACACTTTTATTATGATTATACCTAAAAAATAAATCATTAAATAAAAATAAAGACTCTAATTAGAAGGCTATAATATATGGGCTGTCAAGAACTATTTTGTGCTGCCAAAAGAACCTTTCAGAGAACATTTCAGTTTTTCTGAATAACATTATATAGTCTAAAGAGCCTTTTTACACAACAAAGAACCTCCAATAGAAAGATTCCATGGATGTTTAAAGGTTCTTCATAAAATCATGCCGATAAAGAACCTTTATTTTTAAGACTGCAGAACCAAGAAACCAATACACTGAATAATCTATAATAAAATATCAAATGTTTTTTTAATCTCCAAACGACCATATAACCAACTCAAGAACTCTATACAGTAAAACTGATTTTAGAAGGGTGATTTTAACTTCAAATAACTTTTATTTTCTATTTCTATTTCTCTGTTCTCTGTTTATTCTGTCTTCACTGAATATTGATAAAAAAAAAGGTCGGTCTCCTTGTTTGCCCTACAAAGGCTACACGTAAGCCTATACTTTCCTTCAATTTTATAGGAAGTGGACAAATCCAGCTATGGCAGTTTCTCCTGGAGCTGCTGTCTGACAGCGCCAATATGACATGCATCGCCTGGGAGGGGACCAATGGAGAGTTTAAACTCATAGACCCGGACGAGGTGGCCCGACGGTGGGGGGAACGCAAGAGTAAACCGAACATGAACTATGACAAATTGAGCCGCGCTCTGCGCTATTACTACGACAAAAACATCATGACCAAGGTGCACGGAAAGCGCTACGCGTACAAATTTGACTTTAACGGCCTGGCGCAAGTGTGCCAGCCCTCTTCAACTGAACAAGCTATTTATAAGTTCCAGAGCAACTTCGCTCCCATCCAGTTTTCAGGCATTTCCAAACTCAATCTGGTTGCGCCAGGTGTTGGTCCGTCGGGGTTCTCCTACTGGCCCGGATCTCCTCCCACCCTCTACCACAGCCACAACCTGCAACCGCCAGGACCCTTCGGTGCCGTGTCTGCGTCACATTTAAGTTGCGTAAACAATATCAATACTTTAAACAACCTGAATAATATCAACACTCACTATAACTGATTTTTTTTTTTTATTTGCCTCGGGAGTGCGCGCTGATAGGCTATAGCCAAAAGCGCTGAACTGATTCATAGCCAACTAGCGCAACCACTCCAGATAAGACCGTAGCCTAATAATTTACAATAGGCATTGAATAGGCCTTAAATTCTTTACTCGATTGAAAATGATAATTGCGGCTTAACGTTTGGAGGACTGTTATGTTGACCACATTAAGATAAGAAAACAATTTAGCGCCATCTTATGGATAACAAATAACATGGCTAATTTGCCTTACCTCCCAAACCTTTGAGGTCAACAAAAGAGAAGACAAAATTAACGTTGGAGAAAAGACTACATGGTACGAGAACAAATGTTTGCTGGGAAGAAGCAAAAACGTGTTCGCACACCTGTGCAATCGAGCATATAGTTCCCATATAAAGCGTTTTGAATTTCGTTATTTATTTACGACAGTGACTGTGGGTGTTGGTCGAAACATTGGGCATAGGGTGGACGTTGTGGGTCTGAAAATTAGGCATACATTTTCAAAAGCGTATATGTCCTAATAAATCGTAAATAATAACTATGATTTTTTTCCCGTAGCCTTGGCTATACGGTCTACTTAAACACGAGATGACTTCCCTTCTTTTTGCTCTGTTGATAATTTGGTTATAATGTATTTTGCTTGTGATAAAACATTAAAATTGTTAAACAGTCTGATCTGTTATAGGGTTATTCTTTGTGTGTGTTTCTAACCGCGCTAAAGTCATTCTGGGTGGTATTTGGGAGTTATTTTATTTAATTAATTCTGAAAAAATGCTGAATTTCATTCAATTGATTTTGTATGAGGGTAGAAATCTTTTAAATAAAGCCTCAACATTTAAATTCTGTCATAATTTACTCACCCTCAAATTGTTCCTGAATGAATTTCTTTGTTATGTTGAACAATGTTATGTTTTCTATTATCGCTGTATGCTGCTTTGAAACAATCTGTAGGCTATTGTAAAAAGCGCTATATAAATGAAGGTTACTTGACTTGACTTGGACATAAGAAATTATTTTGAAGAATGTTAGTAACCAAATAGTTGTGTTGTACCATTGACGTCCATAGTATTTTTTCCCCTCCATAATGGTGCCTCACAACTGTTTGGTTACCGACATTCTTCAGAATATCTTACTTTGTGTTCAGCAGAAGAAATAAATTCATACGTTTGGAACAACTTGAGGGTGAGTAAATAATGACAGGATTTTCATTTTTATGGGTGAACCAAGGGGGAAATGCGTTATCACTCTGTCTCTGTGCTATTTTTATAATTATATATTTTTTTAAATACAAAGTTCTATTTTGTGGATATGATTAGTCACTAACTAAAAAGTAAAACTGAGTAATTTAAAAAATTAAATAATAATAAATTAGCAGTAGGTTTATCCTTTATCTGACTAAATGTCCCCACAAGCAAAAGCTTAAATTGGCTATGCTGTGGCTGCCCGCCATCGGTACGCAGCTACGCACTAAGAAAACAGCATAATAAACGTTAACAAAAGTTTAGAGAATGGAAAATATTGTCACAGTGTTATAAAACGGTCGAGTGTGTAAAGCCTCTATGGTTCCTAACCACATTCCTGGGGGCCCCCCAACACTGTACATTTTGCAGAACGCTTCGTTCTACAATACGCAATCAGGACACAAGAGGGCGTCATGTAGCTATTCCAATTTCCACCATGCCTACAACTGCGCCGCAGGACATTCTTTCAGCTTCATATGTCAAAAAATACTAAAAGAGGCAAACTGGGGGAAGTAAGAAAGAAATCCCAACCTTGTCCTAATGTATCGTGACTAACTAAGATATATCCATGGCAATGCAGTTCAGTTGGCTAATTTGTGACAAATGGCTTTCTTGTATGCTAATTGGCTATAGTTGCATATTTGATGTCATGATGAGGAATTTCTCCAGCATTGCTGTGTATTGTGAGGAGACCCATAAGTCCCATCAGTGTGATCTGCATGTCAATAGCAGCTCTACTGGGGTCCGCCATTTATGGCAAGATTTGTTTGCACACTGGACTTATTTTAAATAGGCTCTATAGTCTGTCCAACAGATTCCAGCTTAGAGAAAAGGTTTGTGCAAGGACAACCAAAGCTATATCTGTATGTGAGTCTAGCTTAAGGAGTCTCTAACGTTTTGCTCACTGTAGGGGAGATAGAAGTTACACTTTTTGCTCCAGTGAATATTTCTCTGGCTATACTTTTTTTTTTTTTTGTGTAGATACAGACCTTGTTCACTTTCCGTCTTTATTGCCCAGATAAGGATACAGCTTATTTAACAACACATAATATGCCCCAATAGTGGATGGATGGGGTAAGTTGTCACAATAGAACCTATTACCGTATAAGCTTTAATTTAAACAGTACAACAATTATGAAACACTTGAAGCATGTTTTGACAACCAACCGTAGCCTCCCCTATATTAAGATTAGGCTACATAATGATTTTCTTCTCTAAAATAATCAATACGCATCGGTGCATTTGTCAATAATAATAAGGTACCATAGCTCATGTTCTTAATATGGTTTTAACTTTTTGTGACTTTATGATTTTTAAAACCATTGATCAGCTTGTATGTAATATAATTCAATTAAAGTAGTAACTGCACAATTCTTATTACTTAACAATAGTAATCTTTTTTTTTATTCAAGAGCAGTAGTGAAAGTAAAAATGTAAGCCAATAACAACAACAAAGAGCGTCTGATCTATATTTCTGTAGGTCTTCCTCAGTACTCTACGAGCTAAATCACACTTATAATAAGTTATTTTCAGCTGCAAGGTGTCACTGAGTGAATGTACAAGAGTTAATCTGGACATTATGTGTGCTTAGTCCAGTGCAGCAGCTTTTGCATAACACACAGATGGGAGGAGAACATTTCCAATCTCTTTTGTCCTAAACAAGTAATCAAGCAAAAACACTTCCTACTTTTGCCTTCCTTAAACTCAATCACACACACTTTGTGTTAATGTTTTAAGGCACTTAAAAATGCCCAATGCTTTAGTTTCTTATCCTAACCTGTGTTTACAAGCATGGTGCCAATCTCAAAAAAATCACTGCTCAAGGATAAATGCTATAATTGAAGGAACGTGAAGAGCGATCAATCTAAGTCAAGTTTGTTAATAGCGTTCTAATTGGCTGCTGAAATCATTGTGAGGCATTCTTTCTGGTAAACACAAGCCTCTGTGACAGGAGAGGAGTGTTGGCTGGTGGCCCCTAGAGAAAGCTTAATGAGCAGTACTGCTTTGAATCTGTCAGTGTGATCTAGTGACTAACTCCCAGCCAGTGGGTGGCTCTGAATGTATCATCCATTCAAGTCAGTCACGGAACACCCACTCTGACTCTATATATAGTCAACATCCTCCATCTCGCTCTCCCACAGAGAGACTGAAACAAAGTGAACATGTTACTCATTATACAACTAAAAAGTTTAGACAAATAATTTGCAACATTCTATATTATTCATCTGGTATAGGTTTTACTATGGATTTCTGTTTTCATTTATTCACCTTCATGTTATTCCAATTCTGTATGAATCATATGGACTGTTTCTTTATTCTATTTGGAGCTTGACTGGTCACATTCTTTTATTGTATGACGAAGAGCAGCTTGAACAATCTTTAGAATTTCTCATTTTGTGTTCTAAAAGAGAATAATATTAGTTTGGAACTGAGGGTGAGTAATCAAAGTAATTTGCTTTTCTTTTTTTTTAAATGTTGGGTGAACTATTCCTTAAAGCAAAGGAAATATATTCTTCACAAAAAAAGTAGTATAACTTTAAGTCATCTGTTTGAAAGGGAGAGCTTTTGGGAAAGATGTTTATTCACTGACCCATCGGTATTACTACTGACACTTTGATTTCCAACCCGATATAACCTATTTCCACTAATCTGGGATTAGCTGGTGGAAAGCCTTAGGTAAGATCTCTTATACAGTATATATAGCCAGGGCACAGTGTCATATGGTCAAATTGATGGTGACTACAGAAGAAAGCCTCCTGACAGATTAAGGAACAATTATAACAAGTACAAAAATAGAACTAATCATTCTTTGTTTGGCTCTTTGGTTGGGGTAAACACTTATATACTAAGGATTCAGGAGTCTTCATAGGTGCAACTAATAAGAAACATTCATACAGCAGACAGAACATATTAGTGTCCACTGATATTGCTTGGGATTATTATGAACGTATCACTTGTCCACCATTCAGAATTGAATGGAGAATTCCATCGTTTTAATGAGCATTTAATTACAGTTTTTCTCAGTCGCTTTGGTGCATTTCTCACATCGCTATTTACATTTGCACAACAGTTAGTTCAACCTCCACAACATTTAGTCATTTGTGCACATCATAGTAGCAGTTTCTCATTCCTTCCAACAAATTGCAAATGCTTTTGGACATGCATCAATTGCTTTCATACAACTCTCTGCTGTTTTATAACATTATTATGTCATGTCAAAATTAACTATACTTGTGAATGCTGAATAGTCATTCCATATAAAACTAATAGTCCTCATTTCATTGCTTGAGTCATCACATACAAAAATGTTGAACTAGTTGTCAAAATCTGTCAAGCAAATTTTATCTTATAATATATATTTGTTTATCCTAAATTGAACAATTTCTGTCAGGTGAACCTCAGCTTTCACTGATGAAAAGGGATGTGCATGAATGATTTACAGTACTATGTATGTTGTATGTTCAGTTCCAATATGTACTGCAATATTGTTTACAGTAAGTGCACAGCTCTACTCAAAGGGAGTTTATGTTTGTTGTAAATAAGGGTGTATTTTTTCTTTTGCACAATGCTGTGAACAAATTAGAATTGCAAAGAGCATATAGTAAAAATGTGAAACATACATATTCAGTGTCTTGTAATCAGTTACCTCACTAAATGCACTAATGTGTAACTTTACTGTAGTTTTCAAATGGCTGTGCAAATATAGTGCTGTCTTGAGCATTTTCAGGTAGTGTCACCAAAATCTGACTTTTTTTGCATTGGAAAACATTTACAGAGTAAACTCTCATAATGAAAACATGACAAAGCCATTTGACTATCTTGTTCACAAACAATGGTGTCAGGACTTTTCATCTTGATGACACTGACACTTTCATTGACATGAATACTTGCTTTTGAGGAATGAGCTATCCATTTTGAGCATTGACACCCCTTTGCAGGTTATCAACTAGGTTTTGCAGTTTGTACAAATTGTTTTGAGAACTGCATTAACTGTTATGTAAATGTGAATAGTGATGTGAGAAATGCACCAAGCGACTGATAAAAACTGTAAATTTAAAGTAGAACTAAAACTAACTGCAATTTATACAAAAGCAATTATGTGATTTTAAAACAGAAAAGTAAAGTTTGTCAAGACAAGCAGATGATAGATAGATAGATAGATAGATAGATAGATAGATAGATAGATAGATAGATAGATAGATAGATAGATAGATAGATAGATAGGCCTAGATCATTAAATATATGGTCAAGGCCTGGGAGCTGGAAACTAGAGGTAGCCTCATGTTGCTTACAACAGAAGCTTTAAAAATAGTTCCAAAACTAGGACATGTGTTGATTGTGAGCTAATTTCCTACTCGAAAACTATTTGAGGGCATAGCCTTCTTGACATATTCATAATGTTCATGTGGCCACGCGCTGCTTGAAGACAAAGCGCGTGAGGTTCTGCAGTGCTGTGAATGGGCGATCCTGCGGTTACTATAGAGACCGACTGGAGAAACGAAGCCCCAGTTCACATGTATTCCGCTGACCCAGAGAAACACATCTCACAGACTGCAGCAAATTCCGGCCAATGAACTCGAAGATCATTCATGTCAAGTGTTTTATTCACAATTCCGCGAGACTCGCTCATTCTTGCTTTCAGCTGAACGGGATTGGCTGATGATCTCAAAAAGTCCCACAGAAAATAAATACGTAGCCTCGAGTGAAGTCATAAACATGATTTATCCATCTGTTAATTGTAGACTAATAATTAGGCATATTATATTATAATTATATAAATTACCATTTTCTCTTTCCTTTTTCTAAAAATATCATTCGGAATCAAAGGGGAAAGGATTAAAAAGGTAAAATAACCCATGCGTAAATCACAGAGAGAGAGAGAGAGAGAGAGAGAGAGAGAGAGAGAGAGAGAGAGAGAGAGAGAGAGAGAGAGAGAGAGAGAGAGAGAGAGAGAGAGAGAGAGAGAGAGAGAGAGAGAGAAATAAAAGTAGCCTGTTAGTTGTCACACTAAAACTCTTAACATGGTTGTTTTAAAATTGAGTTCCCTGAATTAAAACATTTGAGTTAATACAATGGAGATTGGTTTAATCAACCGAAACTAAAAATATTATGTTTTCTGAACCACATTATATTGTCTGAACCACATTAATTATCTAAGTTGATTTGACAAAAGAAAAAAAAAAGTTGTGATAACAAATCATGAAAATAATACTTTAGTGTAGACATGGTGGATAGATGCCTTGTCAGTGTACAAAGCTTAAATGGATGCTAGTATATGAGCTTATAATAGGCTTATTTCGTCAAACGGCACGTGCATGCAGTGCATTAATAAACTCGATTCATGAATTATCGATCAACAAAACCAGTCAGACTGTGTTTTATTTAATTCAAGCAAGAGCACTGAAGAATCATGTCAAAAAATAAAATAATCTCCAAGCAAGATCTGCCCATTTTTTTCTGAAATCATTGTGAATATAATAATAAAAAACCCGTAGTTTCCTAAGATCACACATGAATTGGCACATAGAACATCTCAGTGGAGAGAAAACGCTTTCAAGGTTCACATCCAGAATGGCGTCTGTTAACAGTGCAACATGAGCACATGTAAGTCAGGTCAGCACCTTGGATAGTTCCATTCACATCTCTTCAAATGTAGCTTTATCCTCCTGAGACCCACTCACTTGTCCACTGTAATGTTTTGAGAGATACATTAAGCCTTGATAGCAACGTCCAATCTTTAATAATTTAGCCAATATAATAATATAAACTGTACACAATAACTCAAAATATGAATAGTAGGCTTATACACCAATGTTATACACCAAACACTTAAATAGCCTACCTAAAAAAAATAACTCTTTTCTTTGGGTCTCAGGAGGATAGTTACCCAGATAACCTTAGTAATGACAGCTGAGACAATTATATAGAATAAACGTTCATTTGTTCTTTCCCTTTTTATGTAAGACTGTGAAGCAACAGATACAAATCTATATGACATGCATTAGCTAAACCGGTGAAGCCATGTTGACTAAATCACCACTTAATACTGTTAAAACAAAGCCAACAAAACAGTGTCATAAATAGGCTATTAAATTGGCTCGTGGCGCAACGCAACAGTCACTCAAGCAGAGCTGACTACAATTGCATCCAATAAATCAGTAGTAACTGATCTCTGCTCAGATTTCGATCACAGTCAGCGGTCCAGTTCGCTTCCACCCTTCTTACAATCTCCTTCGTTTTTTAAGTCTTGGAAAACCTCTGTGAAAAAGTGCGGATCCATGTTAATCTGCAGCATTTTCCCGCTCAGTTTATCGATGACATCTAACGAACGTTCAAAGAACGCGTCCGCATTGGCGTCAACCATGAAGGGCTTGAGAGGATACGAGATCTCGTTTCCGATGTAGGAATACGCCAGATAGAGGCAGGTAAGAAAGGTCCCGTGGAGTTCACGTGGATTGTCAACATCATCGGTTACAGTTTCCCTAACGAGCAGATAGACGAACACGAGGTTGGATGGCGTGATGAACCCTTGGTCCTGCCAGCCCTGCAACAGCAGAGTCCTGTCCACGTTGCGGAACCAAAGGATGACCTCATTTGAGGTTAGTTCCTTGACTTTGCAGCACCGTTTGCACAGGAATTCACCCAGGCAACGGAGCAGCTCCCCGGTGGAGGCCTGGACGATCACGCGCCGTGGCGAGAGGAGCGACCGGTTGCTGGGCTGCTTCTGAACCGACACCAGTTGCTTCGGCGCTGGATTGAGCTGGTCCTGATTCTGATCCAGATGGGGAGGAACCGTGGGGATGGGCACCGCAAGAGGTCCATTTTTCGTTTTCCGCTCGGTCGATTGTTGCGATTTCCTGAAGTTCTCCTGGTTCAGATTCTCGACCTGACAGTCGCTGCTCTCTGGCAGCGGAGCAAGATTCGGATTTACTTTCTTGGCACATTTTTTCTTACCCGATGCAGTCACTAGCCGCTTAAATGTGAGCATGGACACGACTACTGACTGCTTTTTAAGGCTTTTCCCATTGGCTTCGTCTTCTCCATCTTCCAGAATGGCCCCTTTAGTCACTATAGGGGATACAGATAACACGGTACCCATATTGCAGAGCGCGCGACACGAATGTTACGATACGGCCCTGCGCGCGCGGAGACGTCGCAATAGAGTTTGAGCGAATCCGATCACAAGTGCAGATCCATTTGGTGAGTAAAACAGGCAGGTTAGCAGGTGGACTGACAGACCATCATAAAGGAAATTCCAGAGCAGTCAGACACTCCCTCCACTTCTTCTGCAGTAGTGACTGCAAGCTAGACCCGCATCGCCAACCTCAACCATGAAGGGATTTGTGGTAAACCTAACCAATCTGACATCAGCTTCTGTTAACCGGGATTATCCCATCGTGTCTGTGTAATTAGCCAACCTCAGGGCTACAGAAGACGAATGACAGTCTAATGCACCAATAGAAACAAACGTGTCCACATTATCACTTCAGAAGGTAGAATTTGTAGACCGCATGAGCCAAGTATAGTTCTGCTATTCCCAGACAGGGTACAATTCTCTCCTTAGCTACTCCATTTCACCGTAGCACTGAAATACATCATGTGTTATATCAAATTATTAAACAATGGCATGAGATCAACCAAGATTATTGTATTGTATTGATAAATGCACAATAAACAACAACAACAACAACAATAATATAATCATCTTTGACCTAGAGGGTTTTCTAGTATATATTTTTTAAATCGTATAAATAAATGACAATTTTCCTAACCCACTGCACGTTTTGATGTTTGAAACAGCGTATTGAAAGCAAACTGATTACTCTTTCTTGGCATAAATAGGTTACACGAGTAATCCTCCAAGTTTCCACGAGATTGGGAAAAGAAACCCAAATTCATTCCAGAATCAAGCTGCTCATCCATCTTAAATCGGGATTAAAGCAGTCAACATTATCATTTGCTTTATGGTTGGCCTAGCTATAACTAATCTTCATTCACTAATATTTGTCAGAATATATATGCCAGGCACAGGTGCAATACTGAGATTTTACATTATAATATGATGCAACAGACTGAATGCAATCCAAATTTGAAATTGATTAATTCCCAAACCCTGTTTATGTGTTCCTGTGCAAGTTAAATGGTAGTGTTTTTTGTCTGCTAGCTACTGACCCCATGCTGGTCTCCCATCTGTGGCTCTGCCGAATGACAAAAAGGCCTGTCTGATCATAACAGCTGGCAGGACAGATACACTTTATACACTCTGAAGTACCTATGAATTATACAGAAAAAATAATAATAATAATTCCAAGTCTTGCACAACAACAAAACCAAACAATGCAATTATGCACTACTCATATTGAGAGTATTGTCTTTGAAAATACTGCATGTTCCATAATACAACACAGGGAATCTGTGAACCCCAGAGGATTTGCCCACAATGCAGCGTCACAGTGGTAGAACTGACAGTACTGCAGTCAGAGCAGCATGTCTCTCTTATGAATATGCAGGGAGAGGGTTATGAATATTAACCTCTTGCAGCAAACCTCGCACTGTTACTGTGAAAAGCAGTGTCTGAACAGAAAGAATCCCTTCTCTTTACTTCTCTTGTCTATGAATCCAGTACTTTTCTACTAAAGGACAATGAAATGATCTGCTTTTAATAATAACAAACCATCTGTATAAATGTAGCGCCTCTCTGTTTTAAATCTTTAAGCATCTATTCGGTTTTAATAACATCTCAAAGTCAGAAGCGGCAGTTGCCAAGTTTGTCAATATTACTTAAGATATGAATCTGCATCATTGTATGGCAACAGTTGTGAGGCAAGTAAGTAGCCTGCTTTATGAGTCAAGGATATGTGAATTAGGTCATATATGCCAAAATCAGAACATTATTTAATGGAGCCAGATGACTAGATATAGCAATAGAAGTTAAATCAAGGTTGTTTACTGCCACTGTCCATAATGTATTATTTTAGTCACTCCCTGCACTCTCTCTCCACCTTGTGGTCAGTCATATAAAAGCAGTCTACAAATGTAATAAAGCAAAATTGGTTAAATGTGTGTGTGTGTTTGTGTGCGTGTGTGCTGTTGATCAATAAAAAAAAAATGAATCACACTTTTTTTCTGTAATTAATCGCACATAATATTTAAGTTTTTAATATATTTTATATTGATAATAATTTCACATTTAATCTCCAAATTAGTGTAGAAACAACAAAGACAGTTTATGATATTTGTTTAATGGCATATTTTTATGAATGACGGCCAGTATCACTGATACCAATACTGCTGATGTCTCCATGAAATATATGTTTTTTTTCCTCAATTTTAGCCATTAATTAGCCATTCAACATTACAGTATAATTGAAATCTACCAATCTTAACATTTGTTAGGCTTTAAAAAATATTAACTTTTAATTTAACTGAACTTAAAACAATCTTAAAGTGCCCCTATTATGGATTTTTGAAAATGACCTTTCATGTAAGTGTGTAACATAGTTCTAAGTGAATGAAAACATCCTGCAAAGTTTTAAATCTGAAAGTTCACCGTATATAAAGTTATTGTCTTTCAAAAGTACAAGTCGACTCTGAGTCAATTAAAGGAATCGTTTTTCAAACGAGTCATAAGCCGTTTCGTCGTTACGTCAAGACGAAACATTAGCATATTGCGTGTGCAGACATCAGGGAAAATTTGAACCTCAAACACTGCAGCTGATTCCTGTGGATACTGGATAGCATCATGTTGAGAAGGCTGTGTTCTACAATGTGAAGGTAAAGCCAGTTTTTTGTCACTGCCCAAGGACGAGCATGTGAAGAATCAGTGTTTTAAATTAATCTTTACCATGATACCACAGCAGTGTAATCCTAAACTTTTGCCGTGTTCCATTTATTTTACTGACGACTCTCAAAACTTGGAGTTAAATGCAGGATTCGCAAAACGCTTGCTCTTGAAAGATGGTGTTCAAAATACTTAGTTTTGAGTTTTATATTGTGTAGGTCTCCTGCTAACTGGTTAACTCACATTATTACTGTCTTACTGAAATACTTCTGCTAATCAGTTGTGGCCCACTATTACTATTACCTAAAACGGTGTCTATTAGTGCAGATTGTATGTTGTTCTCACTACTTTGAGGAAAGATTAAGCATGGAGCAAGATTTGTTTTACCAACGTTTATGTTACATCAGTCATTCACTCTAGAGCTCGGCTAATGTATGCACTGTTACAGTTCCCTTTCGTCCTGGGAACTCTGACGTGTCGTCGGGGAGTTCCCTGACGAATTGGGATCACGCTAGGGAGCCTAATTACCTCTGATAGAATTAAAAACGAGCCAATAAAAATTGGCATGCAATCTTTGCATTCCGCGAGCCGCCTACAAACGCGGATATAAAAGCGGAAGTAAAACATTGCATAGACGCTTTTTCCTTCGGAGCCTCTCAGAGCTTACCTGCTGTTCTGAAGTTTGGAACGAGCCTGGAGAAGAAACGTTCGGTGTGCTGGTGTGACGGTGCTTTCAGTGATCCTCGTCTCAAGTGCAGCACGCGGTTGCAGTTTCCGGCGGTGTCTGCGGCGGTGATCCCTCGGCGCTTCAGCACTGGAGAGCAGTTTCTTTTTTATTTTGTTTTGCTAAAAGAGCTCCACGGTGTGTTCGCGTCCTTTTCATGATGTCGACTCGCCCGTGCGTTTCTGGATGCGGTCGACTTCTCCCTCAGGCTGATGGCCACAAACACTGCTTCACGTGTCTGGTCTTAGCACACAGCGTTTGTGGATGAGTCATGCTCTCATTGCGGGAGTATGACTCTCGCGATGCTACGTTCGAGACTGAGATCCCTGAAACATGGGGGAGTCCCTTCAGAGAATCTCCGGTCTAGTTCGTCTGCTGGTTCAGTTCAGCAGACGGCTACTTCGGTGATTCCTGTTGGTGAGCGAATGAGGATTACTGTGAGAAACGCGACAGGTGAAAGATCCTCTCGGGCGCCTCACACCTCTAGTTGCACGCTGCCATCGGCGCTTCCGGTGGAGCGGCCGGAGCCCCCTCGGGCGGTTCCGGTTGTCTCCTTCGGCGCGCCACCTGAGGATCAGATGTCGATCGCGGCATCGGAGGAAGAGCGGTCTTCTGGCGAAGACTCTACGGTGCTGCCCCCTTCGGGTGTGGTGGCGTCGGTGGAGCCTGACCCGGAAATGGCCGCTATGCTCGAGCGGGCGGCCGAGAATGTCGGGCTTGCGTGGAACCCTCCACCGGGTCCCGAACCTTCGCGGCTAGATGATTGGTGTCTCGGAGCGGGTCGTGCTGTTGGCCCGCTCCAGTCCCTTTCTTTCCCGAAGTGCATGAGGAGTTGAGGAAGTCTTGGTCGGCGCCTCTGGCGTACAGGCGGAGACAACCTCGCTCCTCCTTCCTTACCACTCTGGACAGCGGGGCGGCGCACGGGTACGAGGGAATCCCCCCAGTGGAGCGGTCTATCGCGATGCAACTGTGTCCGAAGACCGCTTCCTCCTGGCGGGGTGCCCCTTCACTCCCCTCCCGCGCCTGTAGGTTTTCCTCTGGTCTGACCGGGGATGCCTACATGGCGCGTGGAGACGCCGCCTCCGCCCTGCATGCCATGGCGTTGCTCCAAGTCCATCAGGCTAAAGCACTCCATGACTTGCAGGCGGGTGGTCCCGACCCAGCTTTGCTGCAGGAGCTGCGCCGGGCGACGGACTTCGCCCTCCGGGCGACGAAAGTCACCGCACGTTCGCTGGGTCGGGCGATGTCCACTTTGGTGGTCCAGGAGCGCCACCTGTGGCTGACCCTGGCAGATATGAGGGAAGCGGAGAAGAACAAACTTCTCAACTTCCCCGTATCCCAGGGCGGCCTCTTCGGCGACACGGTGGAGAACTTGGCCCAGGAGTTCTCCACCGCTCAGAAGCAGTCGGAGGCTATACGGCATGTCCTGCGTAGGAGGCGGCCTGCTGCGGGTCCGTCTCCTGTGGCTGTACAACTTCCGGCTGCTTCCCGTCGCCGAGGTCGTCCTCAAGCACCAGCTCCTCCTCCAGCGCAGCCTACCACCTCTGGAGCGAGGAAGTCTGGTCGCAAGAGGGCGGCCCAGCCCGCTCAGACGCACCCGGCCCCTTCCCGTAAAAGGAAGGGAGGGAAGCGCTCCTGAGACGGGCGACCTGAAAGAGGACCGGACAACTGCTCTTCAGGAGGGTGCCCCTGCACGCCTCCTTCCCCCGGGGGAGGGCCGGTGGGAGAATATTCTGTTTCATTTTGTTTCTGTTCCCAAAGAGTCAGTAAAAGAGCAGTTTCCTCTTCCTCCTCCAGGTCATCCTCGGTCGAGACTGACGGGCACTCAGTTTCCTCCACCCAAGAGGGTCCGAACGACGGTGGATGCTGTCTGCGAGCAGCATCGCTCTCGTTCCCCTCTTCCCAGTCTGCAGATAGCAGATAGTCGGCGGCTGGGCCCAGAGGGGCAGAGACCAGTTC